GGCAGTCACTTCTCTGCTGTACTAACACCGTTTGCATGACACTTCCTTTAAAGGTGAGGAAAACAAAACACTTCTCCCTACCTTATAATGCTGCTGTGTAAACAGCCCTGTAGGTTTTGGGGGACACACCTAAAGGAGGCAGGTGAGGTGAGGCTGATCAGGTCATGGAGCTGCCTCTCCGGGGCCGACTGGGCAGCCAAATCCTCTCAAGAGCTTTCCCAAGAGAGAAGGGCACTGCTGCTCACAGGGTGAACATCTCCCCTCCAGCCATTGCCCCCCAGTCAATTGGGCTGGAGGGGTCCTGACCCATCTCCCAGCCCATCCTCCCCACCTGCTTCACTCCTGACACACCATGAGCCCACAGCCAGTTAAATCTAGCCCTTGAGCCCCTTGTCCTTTCTCTTGTTGATGAAATAAGTGTTTTTTCCTCCCTCATTTGCTCCACCTTCTCATTTCTATCCTAAACCCAACATCCTGTGCACCCAGAGAGCTCCCAAGAGCTCCACAACTCCCATCAGGACATTCCCAAATCATCTCGACAGCCTTTGCTGGGAAGCATTTATGTCCCTGCCCAGCTTGTGGCTGGAAAAATCAGAATTTGGATCCAAACCTTGATTTTTTTTTCCTTCCTGAAACAAAAGGGTATAAAGCCCAAACAGTGCACCTTACAGCCTCCTGTGGTCCTGCTTTCTGGCATCCCAATGGCTCTGTGTTCTATTCCTGGATGTGTTTCCCTCAGTAGCAGAGGCTCTTACCTTGGACTTGCTCACTCGTGGCCTCTGTGATGAAGTTCACTGCTCACCCCAGCACGCTGCACATGGGGTTGTGCTGGGAATCAGGATTATAAGGAAGATGGAAAACTTGGCTGCACTGGTACAGCTGAGGGGGACGAGGTGCTGCAGGGAGACAGGAACTCCACAGGGTAATTTTGTCACTGGGAAAGCACATCCCAAGCTGGTTCTGTTGGGTGGTTTAACCTTGTTTTCAGTGAATATCAGGCCACTTCTAACTGTGCCAACACAGGCATGAAGAGCACTAAGCCCGTGGGGTAGGTGTGGCACAACACCAGATTCCAGTTTCACCTCCATCCCCAATTACCATCCATTAATTAAAACATATTCGTTATACAGGCAAAACTCCCATCAGCATTGCCAAGTCCAGGGCTTGGGTCCTCCCAGTGGGAACTGCCACAGCCCACAAGGGACAGTGCCACAGGAAGAACAATGGGGACATATTTTCCCCAATACAGGAATGTTGAGAAGGGTAAAAATAACAATTCCTGGAAGAGCTGGGTGTGCAGGAGGGCTGCCCCATGGCTGCTGTGCTCCATGGTGCAGTTCTGAGCAGCACAGGGACACATCCCCTGTGCTGTGCACAGACCCAGGGCACGGCATCACCCCCGGGGGCTCAGGGCTTCCCGGGGAGACCGAGGTGGGAGAGCCCCATAAAACATCCTCCACCTCGCCAGCCAGGGGGTGGCTTTCTAATTACCCAGGTGGGTTTCTATTGTAAGGAGGGCAGCAATGCAGGATTTGACGCCAGGGCTCTGAATGTGTCACCTGCCCAGGGCAATTTAGCAAGTGGCCTGTGCTTTATGTTCCTGCTGTCCACAGCCACAGGGCTTGCTGCCCTGGCAAGCCAGGACCCCACCCCTGTGGGACCTGCTGCCCTGATAAACTGATTTATCTCATGTCTGCCTTCCCTTAAAACCCACACTGTGATGTGAAGAGGGTTCTGTGGGTGTGTGGGGCTGTATATACTACTGCTGTTTCTTTACTCAGGACAGATACCAAAATGCTTTAAGATTTTGATCATCCCATGAAAAGCACTGGCTGTTCAGTCACATAGCAAGAAAAGAAGAAACAAAGCATCAGGATTTTGTCAGTAAAGCCAAGGGGCTCCAGCTGACATTCAGAACACTGCTTTTCCAAACAGCCTGTCCCTCAGCAGCACATGGGGCCAACACAGGCTCTGGTGGTGCCTCCATGCTGACAGCTCACTGTGAGGTCCAAGGCTGCCCAGAAAGACTGACAGTGCATTTTCTGCATAACCAGGTAAATTCAACAGAATTTTCCTCTCAGCCTTTTTTTTCCCCATCCAAAACGAAACCAAAAGCAAGTTTCCAGGCAGCGGGGAAGCCAAAGAGAAACCATTTTCAGCAAAAAAACTACCTTTAGCATCAACACTACCTTCAGCATCAAAACTACCCTCAGCATCATCTCTCAGATGGGACCTCTGGCTCAGGTGACCCAGGGTGTGACCAGGGGGCTGTTCCCATGGGTGATGGGGGAGCATCCAGCCCTGCAGCCCCCCAGAGCCTGGCTGGTGACTTACAGAACAAAGCACCAAAATCAGCTTCTGAACAGCTCTGCCACTGAGCTCAAAAAGACCACCCACCTCTGTGCCTCAGTTTACCCAACTGCAAATAGAGATGTGTATGTTTAATCTCCTGTACAGCAAAGACGTTGCACAAACCACTCTGTAAGTGCAAAATTCAGTAACACAGCAAGAGCAAAGTCTGCTTTTGCCTAAGGTGGGAAAGTCTAGCAGCAATCCCACTGGGATGACTGCAGTCCTTGCTGGATGACCTGCAGAAGTGCTGCCTCCTGCTCGTCAGGGCTGAGCTGTGAGTGTGGAAAAAACCTGCAGGGAAGCAGGAAGGCTTGTCCCAGCACGCTGCTTTGTTTGCTGACAACCAGTGCAAGTGACAACGTTATGAGTGACTTTTGAGATCCCTGTGACTTTAATTGGAAAGGACATTTTTAACAGCCCGAGAGCTGTGCGGTCCTGCCAGCGGCTGCTCACGCCCAGGGACGCTGTTATTTTTCTGGCATGTGATGGGAATATCATGTGTGAACTGACAGAGCAGACACACCAACGTTTTTTTAGCTGCAGAAGCTCTCTCACACACACAAAAAAAAAAACCAAAACACATCAATGTGCCCTCAGGGACAGCCAGGCACAAACCCCAAAATTACCTGTGTGCATATAGAAAATGCACAGCAGATTTCCAAGCCCTATGCATGGGCTTTAATCAATGAGCTTCCCTGATACATGGGAAACACTTCATTCCCAGTAATTGTCCTTTGACAGCTCTAACAAGTAGGATCTGTTCGGGATGGTAATGATTAAAATGCTGACTCACAGAGGGGTTTCCATGCTGGCGGGACTGCACCAGCTTTGTGCTCACTTGGAAGGTATTTTGCATCCCTGCTTTTCAACCAATCTGCAATTTTAATCCTCTGGTTGCAAACGGGTTGTTTGTGGCTTTGCCCAGCTGACTCCAGGTTTCCCTGCTGCAGGGTCTGGAGGGAGAGGGCTCTCCCCTGGCTCGAGGATGGGCAGCAGGACAGGGAGAGTCCCTTTGCTTTCTGCAGCCAGGAGCAGTGAGGAGCTGGTCTGCCTGCTCAGGGCAGGAGGGAGAGGAGTGACAGGTCCCAGCAGAGGCACCTAAGCCCATAGACCTGCACTTCAGACACCAGCACTGCGAGGTGTCAGACCCCAGAGCAGGTTGCTGGCTCTGCTCTGCTGCATTTCATGGCAAGACAGCAAAGTACTTCACAAAGGTGTTTGAGGTGCAGCCTCCTGCCTGGCCATAGTGCCACTGGCTGCTGCTGCTCAGCTGCCTGTGAGGATGGGGTTCATCCCTGTGTGGCCCCTTCTGCTCATGGGGCAGCCCCACAGGTGCCACATGCAGTGCAGTCCCATTCCCTTGAACCTCACTTTTGCAGCCCCTTCACCAGTCCCCCTGCACCATCAGCAATTAACACAAGGAGATGGGTGTGCCCAGAGGTCAGGCAGGGGGCTGAGAGGAGGAGGAGGAGGAAGGCAGCACCTCTGTCCTGCCACAGGGCCATGGCTGGGCAGAGGCTGTGCCTGTGCCATGGGGCAGTGCCAGGCAGAGCTGGGGGGCTGTTGGTACTGCTGGCACAGCACAGCACTGCTGTGGGGCCAGACACCCACACTGCCCCATGGAGCAGTCAGGAGCCCTGCCCAGGGTGAGCCAGCCCCCAGTGGGACCATCCACCCACAGGAAAACAGACTCGGCAGTTTCCATGAGTACCATCTCCCGTTTCTCCATGTGCAGCATCACAGCACCTCACAGCCCTTAATGACACTGGCCAGAGCTATTAAAAGGCTTTTTTGGGTTTCCTCTGCTGAGGATTTTCCTTTCCTGAGCACAGCTGATGGCTCAGCAGTGACAGAGGCCCCTCGCTCTGCTCAGGCTACGGGCAGCTCCCGCCTGCGGAGCGGCAGCAGCGGCCGTGCCTTTGCTGCAGCAGCTTTTACCGTAAGGAAATTGCCAACCCCAGAAAACTGTTCCCCTAATTACAGCGTTGGAGCAGGGAGAAAACCACAAAAATGATTCACACAGTGTTCCCAAGCTGCAGCCGCGTAAATTAGAGAGATCTCCAAGCGCTCCCGAGCCGCGCTCGCTGTTATCGGGATGGAAATGCAGGAACTTTCATCATAAAGAGGCAAGAAGGGAAAAAAACCTGCCGTTAAACGCATCTCTGCAAGCCAAGGAGACCTGGGAGGTCTATCCCCTATAGATCTTTACAGAAGGGTTGTTAAAACTCCTCGGGGAGTTCTCGTAGGAGGGAGCAGGCAGATAGCAGGGAAACTATAGAAATGCATCAGCTTGTTATTTCGGAGGGACATGGGGACAGAGCCTCTGCTGCCAGCAGAGGATGAAAAGGAGAAGGCAAGAGGACTTGGGGTGAGCAGAAAGGGATGGGTGGTGGCAAGGAAGAGAGTTAAAAGTGTCCCATTGTTAGGGAAGTTTGCTCTCCTTCAGACCATCCCGCTCCCAGGGACACCGCGCCGCCTTTTGAAGTGCGACCTTAGGCGGTTCCTTGTCACCCATTGGAGCGGGAGCTTTTTCACCACATTAAGTCATTGGGTAGCAAATGAATGGGGGGTTTTGACTATTCACAACTTCACCTTATAAATATCAGGGTTGGAGGTTCCTGCAGCTTTCCTCCATCCCCATAGCTCACCTTGGGAAGGAGCGGAGGGAGGCGGCCCTGCTTGCTCGGAGACCTGTGGTGCGGAGAGCTACGGATCAGCCAAAGGGATCCAACCCTGCTCCTTGTGGCAGCCATGAAGAGAAGCACCTTCCTCATCCTCTCCCTCACAGGGTTCTACAGTGCCATTCTCCATACAGCAGCATGGTAGGGTCCAACTCAGTGGAAAGGGCATTTTTTAGGGATGCTCCTCAGCCTGTGGTAAGCTGTGTGATTCATCTTCTTTTCTTTGTTTCAGGTCCGTGAATAACTTCCTGATGACAGGACCTAAGGTAATTAACACATGGACTGTCAGGAATTTAAGTGGGGTGATTTTGTTTTGCAAATGGGAAATAGTGCTTTTCCAAGGAACCAGGCTTCCCAGGGCACATCGGCTCCAAGTCCTGACAAGTAAAAGAGGGAAAGGACCCGCAACCTGTTTATGTCTGTTTTCACTGATAAATGGTAAAACGTGATGGATTTTAACCCTGGTGTTTCCCGTGCCAGGCTTACCTGACGTACTCCAGCAGCGTGGCAGCCGGGGCACACAGTGGGATGGAGGAGTGCAAGTTCCAGTTCGGGTGGGAGCGCTGGAACTGCCCCGAGAGCGCCCTGCAGCTCTCCACACACAACCGGCTCCGCAGCGGTGAGTGCACCTCCACCTGCCCCACAGCATCCCTGCCCCAGCTGGGATGTGCTCTGGAGAGAGCTGGTGCTGCCAGTTAAATTGACTGATGGAGAAGGGCTTTGCCGTCCCAAAAATCACAGTTGTTTTTCCTCTGTCTGTATTGCTGGTGTCATAATTAGCACTAAAATTTTCCTAGGGACCCCAGGCTCTCTCTGGATCCCTATCCATGCTAGGCTAGAGCTCAGTCCTCCCTGCAATGCTGCTCCATGGGTTTGCTTCTGTCACTTTGAGCAGTACAGCATCCCGGGGAGTGCAGTGTCACAGACACCCAAGCTTCCAGTGGGGAGAAGCACAGGAGAGATGAAGGGAGAAGCCAGAGATGTGCACTAAGAAACTGTTTTCATAAGAAAGTTGTAGATATTTTTAAATATTATCTACTTCAACGGGCAGGAATTTCCTCTTCCCCAGAGCAACATCTGTATTTGGATCTGTTCAGAAAGCCAAAACGAACTAGATCAGGAGTGTGGGAGCAGACAGCTCTTAGCACAGATTCCAAGGATCCATGATGATTTTCCCCAGGAGGCAAGATCAAAGCACAACATACCTCCAGGCAGGGAAGGACAGAGATGAACCGAGAGCCAGGTGAAGGGCCAATTCACCTTGGCCAGAGCACTGTCTTAAGATCCTACTCTTGCCAAGAGGTTCCATCCTCTGCATGGACACCTGCATAATATTCAGCGAAACTGCTGTAACCCACAATGCTGAAGCCTGAAAAGATCCAGTCATGAGAATTTAATTTCTGTAGCACTTTACCTTTTGCACAAACTTGGAGGGGGGTATTTTCTCCTTGCCCCTTTGTAGCACAGGAGGTCTTCATCCCTGACAATCTGGGGCTGATGTCTGTGCTTGCACGTGACAGCTTTTTTCCCCCTCTCCTCCAGCGACCCGGGAAACATCCTTTGTACACGCCATCAGCTCTGCTGGTGTCATGTACACCCTCACCAGGAACTGCAGCCTGGGGGACTTCGAGAGCTGCGGCTGTGACGACTCCAGGAACGGCCGTGTGGGTGAGCTGCCATCCCAGATGGACTGACACCCTCTCTCCATCCCCACACGGGTTTCAGGGCAGAATTTGGCAGTTCTGTGCTCAGCCTGTGTCTGCCTTGCAGGTGGCCGAGGCTGGGTCTGGGGAGGATGCAGCGACAACGTGGAGTTTGGGGAGAAGGTTTCCAAGCTCTTTGTGGACGCCTTGGAAACAGGACACGACACCCGTGCGCTGATCAACCTGCACAACAATGAAGTCGGGAGACTTGTAAGTCAGACTCATAATAATACTGCTAAATAATAATAATGTCTATAATGAAAACAAAATCTGAGTGACCGGTAGGCTGCTCAGGTTCCTGTTTCCAGTCCCCCGTGACAATCTAGGCCCTGTAGTGTTTGGATGGGGGAAAAAAACACAGCCAGAACCTGGCCTTAAGTCTGAACACGGGGAACCACCATCAGAGTTATTCCCACTTCCAGCTCCTCCTGCAGCAGTGCAACGCAGTTAACTGCTGGCACACACCACTTAGTCAGAAATGCATGGGGTTTGTACTCACCTAGGCTTGTCTGGTCTGCAAAACAAAGCCAGACCCACCTTCCTTACTTTCTTCCAATATGCATTTCCAAGCTCTTTGGCTGGGAAGCCAGGTGTCAGCTGGCCCCCCTCACAAGCTGTCTGCCAGACTGCCCCGTTCCTGCCTGGGCTGTGGAAGCTCTCAGCATCTTGCCAAACCTTCTTGTCTGCAAAAACAAGGACAGCAACACTTAACATACCTATCTCATAGGGTGTGTCCAGGCTTAATCTCACATAGATACCAGTGATTGGGACCTTATAAATACCAGAGGGAGATAGGCAGATAATATCTGTGAAGTGCTTGGCCTGGAGGAGATGCAGAGAGGTTGGGTACGATTATTCCAAAGCAGTTTCACACATTTTGAATGAAACCTCTGAGAGGGATGCTGGGTTGATGCTCTGATGAGCCGGGTTTTTCCTCGCCTGGATTCTCCCACAAGGGCTGGAGACAATAGCTTGTGCCCACTTTTATCTCTGGCACAGATGCTTTGCAGAAGCTGAAATAAGAACATCGGCTCATGTCTTGGAAGGACATGAAGTCATGCCGAGCATGAGCCACTTTTCACCCGTTGTCCCCAAATTATAAGCGCCTGATTTTGAGGTTTAAACGATGATGCTCTGCTGCTCCTAATTTCTCCACCTCTCCCACCGAGGCGGTGAAAGACACGATGAAACGAGCCTGCAAGTGCCACGGGGTGTCGGGCAGCTGCAGCATCCAGACCTGCTGGCTCCAGCTCGCCGAGTTCCGTGAGATCGGGAACTACCTGAAGATAAAATACGACCAAGCCCACAAGCTGGAGATGGACAAGCGGCGGGTGAGGGCCGGCAACAGCGCCGACAGCCGCGGTGCCACGGCACAGACCTTCCACCACGTCCACGCCACGGAGCTCGTCTTCCTGGAGGACTCCCCCGACTACTGCACGAGGAACGCCAGCCTGGGCCACCACGGCACCGAGGGCCGCGAGTGCCTGCAGACCGGCAAGAACCTCTCCCAGTGGGAGAAGAGGAGCTGCCGGCGGCTCTGCACCGAGTGCGGGCTCCGGGTGGAGGAGCGGAGGACGGAGGTGGTGTCCAGCTGCAACTGCAAGTTCCACTGGTGCTGCACCGTGCGCTGCGAGCAGTGCCGGACGCTGGTGGCCAAGCACTTCTGCACCCGCCGCGACAGCGCCGCCGCCCCCAACCACATCAGGCAGAGGAACAGAGGCCACAAGAGATAAGGGGCGGCCACGGCACCCCAGGGGGACGCTTTGGGGCCCTCACGCTGGGGAAGGAGCGTCCTGGGCTCTGCAGGGCTCAGCGGGCACCGTGCCAGGGGATGGGGTCTCCTGTGGATGGACGCAGTGAGACCGGGAAGCACAAGGCACGGGCGCTGAGGGGCCACGGTCCTTCCTGCTTCCATGTTTTTTCCTCAGTATTTACCAGTAGCTTCTTTCTTGTTGGGAGTCACTTTATCTGTGAGACAGAGAGAAGAGTTTCACGTTTTAGGTGGGCCCAACCCCTTGTGCCCCTGCCAGCGGGTCTGCCAGTGCCAGCGGTGGGGCACCAGCCCTGCAGCCAGACAGTTGGGAATGGGAGCTGGGGCCAAAAGTGTGTCCAGCTGGGTGATCCCATCCCAGCAACCCCAGGTCCCAAAGCTGGGACAGCCCCGGGTCCCGGCCCTTCACGCACAGAGGCTGCTCAGCAGCATTTCTAGAGGAAAACTTATGCACTTTCTGATGTGAGAGGAGGTTTGGCAGTGCCGTGGTGTGCGTTGCCACAACTGCAGCCTTTTGAGGGTTTTGATAAGTTTACAGCCAGTGTTTACAGATTTCCCTCCCCTCTCCTTCTTTTTTCCCCCCTCCTTCTGTTTGAATTTTGTATTTTGGCACAAGAAGCCCTACCCCCAATAGAGAGTAGCTTCGTGTATTTGTACTGGATGACATTAAGCAGTTTACAGTTCCTATACTTTTTTTTTTTTTAATTAGCAGCTAAGAATTCTGAATTCTTTATGCCTGGATGTTGTTTATTAATAAGTTGTATTATTACTTAGCACAATCTGTTTTCACTATATATTTTGAAGGTATCCCTTAAGAGTTAGATTTTGGACTGTATTTTGCAATAAACACCACAATGAAAAGAACTGGCTTTTTCCTTTCTGGTTTCCAAGCAGTATGACTTTGGGTGCAAAATTGTCCCTTTCTGTGTGAAACCCAGCACTTCCATGAATTTCTCATCATTAATCCAAAAGCCACCGAACCCAGGGGGAAGGTTGCCCTCCTAAATCTCAACAAGTTGGCTCCAGCCTCCAGTCCCTGGAGGGTTGGCTTTAGTACCTATCACCACAATCTCACCCTTCCCAAGTGCTGAGTATGCAGACCCTGCCCGGTTAAAGCTGATTTTGAAGCTCCCAAAGCCTCCTTAATTTGCCTCAACCCAACATCCCCCAGACAATGCAAGACTGCCTGGCTTTGATGTGGAAAGCATCAACATCGGCACTCACTGCAAATTTCTTGGAGGCACGAGAGGAACCCTTTGAACTGGGGCAGGAGAGAAAACTTGGGGACAGTTGTGAATGTGTCTGCTGGTTCCCTGCTGCTCCGGGTGCCAACAGCCCTGGAAAAGGGCAGGGAGGGCAGGAGGGGACAGCACTGGCTGCTCCTGTCCCAGGGCAGGTCCTGCTCCTGAGGGAGCCAGAGATGTGCCACCACCCACACCCAGGATGCAGGGCTGAGGATGCTCCACCAGGTTTGGTCTCCAGACAGGGGGAGGAGGAGGAGAGACAAGTGAAAAAACCACCCTGCAGCTCTGCCAGCACATTGCGCCCACACCACAAATGCTTTGATGCTATTTTATCCAGGTCTCCCTATGGCTCCTCGTGGAAACACAGCCTGGACATGCATGAGAGCCAGATCACGGAGCTCAAGGTGCAAAATGCACATTTGGGAAGCACAGCTGACTTCCATGCATTTATTTTATGCAAAGAGGGTCTTACTAAAGCTGGAAGGGCAATGCCATTGGCTAGGGGGGCTTTTTTGCTGCCTTCAGAGTAGCTGCTTCTAAAATTTCCATAACTAACAGGCCACCCCACCAAAGCAACAAACCCAAGGTTTTTGCAGCGTTGCCACAACAGCACTTGCAACCCAACAAAATTTAGGCTGAGCTGGAAATGATAAAGACAAATAAAAGACCCCTTTCCTGCATCTTGAGCATTGGCTGACTTTGCACAAAAAAACCCCAGACTCTCCTTTTGTAATACCCATTCTATTTGCTTGTTCTGTGCTCCACAGCCCCAGGAGCTGCAGGCACAGGATGCCACCAAAATCCCACAAAATGAGGTTACACAGAGCAAAGGATGGTTGCTGCTGGTGTGCACTCAGAGGAAGGAAACTCTTTCACCAGGATAACTCCCAAGTCCACATGAAAACCTTCTTGCTGTATACAGACAGCTGAGTTAATAAACCACACAGGTAAATCCCAGGAGATAAGGGCTCCCAGGAGCAGGAATGGTCAGGGTATGCTGTGTGTCATCTCACCAGGTTTGCAGGTGCTCACAGCACCAGACCAGATCTCTGTCCCACACAGGCTCCATCCCAGGGAAACAGGGCTGCAGAGAGGAGTAGAGATACCACTGCCAAGACCAATCCTTTTCCCAACGAGCCCTCCCATTCCCACTGACCCACAGCCAGGGCCTTGCCAAGCCAGCATTCCTATCTACCATGTTGCATTCAAATGCTGGATACAAACTGTTCTTTGAATTTGTCTAATTGCTTTTTTAAATCCATTTAAATTTCTGGCACCCGGGCTCTCTAAGGCAACGAGGAGTGTATCCTACACAAAAGCCAGAGACCAAACGCAAACTGAAGCAAACCCAAGAGAAAGTTACATACCATCCCATGACAACAATTTCCATTCTCTTTTTATACCTTGCAGAGACAATACTGAGACCAAACAAATACAAAAATCAACTCTTTGGCTTAGAGTGGCACCTTGCCAGAGATATTACAGTGCTGGAGAAGCTGAAGCTCCCTCATCCTCCCCCTTGTTGCTTGGATACAAGAGTCATCAATTCTCACTACATTCAGTACAAAACAATGGAAATTCAGGATCATCTTAATCCATCATGGCACTGTCAGGGAACCCCGACACCCCTGCCCACTGCTGTGGTTTCTGTAATAACCACACAGAACTGCCATGGGCACGGGGGGCACAGGGGAACAAACCCTGAGGCTGCCACGGGACCCCATCCATCAGGCTGAGCTCATCACTGCAGCTGGGATTTTACCTGGGCAGCAAACTCCTGCAGAGCAGTTCTCCAAACAAACACGAGCACACACAGCAGAGCAGAGACCTGTCACTGGCTGCCTTGTAAAGGCTCCTTCTCCAACTGCAGCCAAGGAGCATTTGCAGGGACTGGTGATGTCTTCAAACCTGCATGTGTTTGCTCATGAGCACCCAAAGTCAACTCCAATTTGGGACACTGATCCCAACCACCTGCAACTCACTGCACACCTGGAGGAAGGGATGGGTTGGCTCTATAAAACCTTGAGGAAGAATCTGACTGCTGCCCCATAGTAATATAACAGTAATGTGACAATTCTAATCACAATGAAAAGGTAGAAATCTTAATCTGGGCTGGGTGCTGTATGAACTCCAACCAGACTCCTGCTGCCTGTCCCCCAGGAGCTGCCAGCACTGCTTCTCCCCTCTGAGACCAGACTCCACACAGTGCTGGGATATTGGATGTGCCCTGGAGCAGGGACACCCCAAAGGGGCACTTCAGGCAGGGCTGTGGAGCTGCTTGGACAGGCCTGGAGCAGCACCTGCATGTCTGAACAGCCACTGCCATGGACAGAGCAGCCCCTGTGTAAGAAACCTGTGGGACATCAGTTTAATCAGCCTGAAATCACTGTGCAGGTTCTGGAGATCATCTTTGTAAAGCAGTTTGGAGGTGGATAGATTTCAGCCCAGCACTCCCACCCCAGCTGGGGGCTGCTCCCTCCCCTGGAGCCCCACCACATCCCACCAGCATCCCTGCTTTCCCCCAGCCTGCTTCCCTTCAGCTGTTAAACTCCCTCCCTGCTGGATTACCTTTAATTTATGCTGCCAGTGCCCTTTCATGGATTATAATTCTGTATGAGATGTTTGTGCTGTATCCTCCCCCCATATTAAAGTGTCAGGAGTACATCCCCAGGCCATCCATCTTCAGCACTTCCGCATGGGCTTGGCAATTCTCTGACATGAATATTATGGCTCTCCATGCAGAGCCTCCATCACTCAAGCTGACAAGTGTTAGAATCTCCTCTCTTGAACAGGGTAAGTGACCTTTTCATATGCAGCGTAGATTCCCGGTCACGCTGCATCTGGTGCAGTGAGACCAGTGAGTGCCAGCAATTCCCCAAAGTCTTAAAAAACAAGTCACAGGTCCTTTTCGACTTGCAAAACCAACCCTTAGCATGACAAAGTTAAAGGGCCTTAAGCAGCCCCTGGTTAGCTGCTACTAGTGCCAGTCCCAGAGAGGAGGATGAAAAAGCATCTGTGTGATGCCTTCTGTGGGATTATTGACAGGGATTTTCAGGGAAAGATGGGGGGATTTGGGTGCCTGGCTTGCTGGAGTGTATAGCAACGACTTTTGTCACCAGTTAGTGACTTTAGTGGCTTGGAAAGCTCAACTCCAGTCTTAAACAATATGTTTTTAAGTGAGGTGCTTCAAGTTAGATCCCTAAACCCCACCAGCCTGATTTTCAAAGCTGCTAAATGCCTGGGCTACCCACAGTGAGTGCAGGAGATTCCTTTTACCTGTGCCTAGAGAGAAGCAGAGGGAGAAACGACCTTGAAAGCCTTTCCAGCTCGGACTTTCCCAGCTGTGCTGCTGTGGGGACACTCCAGTCCACATTGATCGACAGAAAGTGAATTCCCTGGAACTGAACTGTGCAGTAACTCAAGTTAAATCCCTCCTACAACATTCAGGTGTTCCCCCAAGTCTTTAGCTAAAGTGGTGCCTATTTTTTTTTTCTTTAGAGAGCAAAGGTACTTTCAAAGCAACTTTGCCACCTTCCCCCTACAGAGCGACTGGTGGTGGCTCATCGCCAGCACAGAGCAACAGAAACTTGTTAACACCTTTTCGGCTCCCTCTTAATAAAGTCAAGGCAATTAACAGCTTCTCTATTTACAAAACAAATCCTCTTTGCAACACCTGAGAAAAAGAGTTACAAGTGTTTCCCAAACATTTCTCAGTTGGGGAGAACACCTACAATAACTGTCTGCTGGGATGTGTTGCATCTGCTCTCCCTGGAGAGGAAGAGTCCACGCTCACCCCGGAACGCTGCACACACGGGATGAACTCACACTGCACTTCCACACAGCAGTTCTGATCAACAAGCGCAGGTCTACTGGGAAAGGTTCTTATCCAAGGGTTTCTCCAAGGAGAAAGAGGCGTGCAGGGAGCCAGGGTGTGAAATTATTGCCCACTTGCTGGTCCATACTTCTGGTATGGCCACATGAGGCACAAGACATGGGGATAAGTTGGTTGGTCCCCTCCAAAAGTGCCCCCAGGGGTGGCTGGGAGGGAGTGGGTAATGTACAGCATAT